TGCGTATTCCGAATCTGGTTTCCACATCATCAGCGTTGAAAAATTGGATAAATTGTTGTTTAATTTCTTTGCCGAAGAGGGAAGAAGTATATTTGTAATACAAAATAGTAAAATTTATACTACGAAGTTTTATATGTAAGCTACATTGCGTTTAAATGGTACACGCAGAAAAATGGTTAGAAAGAGCATCCAATTTTTATTGGGTGAGAAAAAATTGGATGTTGTATCTATTTAAAATGAAAGATCAAATAACGGTGATGGTTATTTTAGCAATTTAAAAATGATACCTCCGATTGGTTTTTATATGCTTTGAATTGGATAAGACTGCCAACTTTGTTGGAAATGATGACTTATACTGGAATTCGAATTTCGATTAATGAGTCAACTTTTTTGAAAGGCAGAAAAGAACTCGATTAATCTTAGTTGAAAATCGTATTCGACTGACTTTATTCAATCCTCGAAAATTCTGTTGAATTTATAGGTTAAGAGTTACATTTTTTATGAAAATAAATTTTTTCAATTCGAGAAAATTCATCATCAATACTTAAATATACCAAAATAATATCACAAAAGTACATACAAACGATTATTTAACACGTATACGTGAAAATAAAAACAAACGGCAATTAATAATTCAAATAAAGTGTTCAATTTTTGTCAATTTTTAAGCCTACAAAAATCGATAACATTGATTATTTTACAATAATCGACAATCAACTCTCGACTATCATTGGCTTTGCATTTTTCATCCCTACTCTTTTCTGTTCTTTTCGGCTGCTCGCCACGTTCGCTACCACACGCTCGTTCCGGTAATGCGCGTCTTTTTGTGTTTAGTTCCTAGAAAATTCTACAAGAAGAGATGGATGAAAAAAGTTTGGAGTTTTTGGAAAATGTGGATCCCGAGAACGCGGGATTTTTGATTGTTCTTTTCAAAGGTAAGTTCTCTCATGCTCATTAATTGATGCCTGAATTTATAAAACAACAATTTTCTAATAACTATTTTGTTTTCTAGGCAACGTACTACGTACCAAGGCAGCCGAAAACTAATTTGGAAGGCGCGAAGCAGCCCAGGGGTAAATTATATGATAAATATACCTGTATAATAAAAGATTTGCGTGCTTCAGGATTACGGTCGAAAGAGTCCGAATAGGTATGTCATGAGAAATGTCCCTTTCCATTTCTATAAAGTTTCTTTTTTAACTTTTTTCTCTTAACAGCCAACAACTGTTCATGACGATGGAGTAAAGAGAGATGAACAGGCTGAAGTGAAGGAAGACCTGGAGTGGTTAAGACGATGCCTCGAACCCGAGGTTGAGGCTACTGAGCGGTGGAGTAGGACTTCCGATTATCGCCACCATTCCTTAAGAGTTACTCCTACTAGAAATAAGGCTATTTGTCGTCAAATTCATTCAATTACAATTTATTTGAAAATAAAAAACTTATTGAAAATTTTTTTAAGCAATTAAAATAGATATAATATCACTGGTAGATGGGTTTATGAACCAACTAAATAGCAACCATATACAAAAAAGTTGGATCAAGCAAACAAGCGCTTGTTTTGTCGAACTCTCTCAGTTGGTGAATATATCCAATTCCTGTGGATCCAAGAAAACTAGGTAATCCAACCAACAAATTGGATCGCTCCCCAGCACCTATTTAAAATAGTTGTATTATCCAATTCACAGGTGTATATTTCCAACTATTTTTCTGCGTGTATGTTATTTATGCTAAAGAGTATGAAAAGTAAGCTAGGAGTTTCGGTATAAATACACCGAGTGATTTCAAATTTATTCTCGTGAGTATAGAATTGATAGGTTCGACAGTTTTGTTTTAGCACTTTCAAACTTATTAAATTAATACTCATCTTATTAAAAATTGTTGTTACCCAATAGTTTAACATTCAAGTAACAATAGTTAAGTTTTTAGGACAATTTTTTGGTTGTAACTTGTTGGCCTTGTATATTTTGCATTTGTTGGTCGAGTTCTAGCAGATGTTAGAAAACCAATCCTTAACTCGTCCATAGCATGACGTTAATAACCCAACATAAGTATGTTGCATAAGACAACTAAATAAAAATGATAAAATCAAAAAATTATAAAAAATTAGCCAAAGTAATTCGTTAAGTCTATTACAAGAAATGGCAAAAAACCTTAAAGAACGGGTTTTACCGTTTTTTCCAGGAAATCTGTTTTGTCGCAAACTTTAACTTATTTTTTCTTAATCAAGACTCCAAATACATTAATCCTGAAAATTTGAATATGTTCGGGCGTTGAGGCTTTTTGAAAATACAGCCGTTTTTACTGTATTATTGTAAAGTGCACCATGTACCAGTGTACCAAGGACCAGGAAATTGATCTCGCCACATATAAAATGCTTATTTATATGATTATTTCTTGTAAATGTAATTCTAGAGTGTGGCTATTATTTTGATATGTTGAACTATATAAGCGCAGCGGATCTGGATCTTATTTTCACAAGCCGAGAAGTTCTCGGCTTAAAATCGGAGTTCAGAGAGACGCTAGTAAGTAAAATTATTCATATTTTAAAATTGTTTACTAATTTTCTTTGCTGTATCATTTGTAAAGATTGGAATATTCTTTGCTGATTTCGATTTTTGATATATATTGTAGTCTCCTTGCGCACGCTTTCCGGTGCAACAGTGCATCAAATTTTTCTTTTCTTGCCTTCGTCGCTTTAAATGTCATTTAAAAACAAGAAAGGAAGCAAACTTCGTCAAGCCGAAGTTCATATACCCTTGCAGGTATTGCAAAAATTAAATATTCTTGAAAACATTAAAGTTATGATTGACTTCCATATACGTTTAAAAACATTGAAGCTATAATGATTTGCAGCTCAAATTTTTGATAGTTCCTCTGGCAGCTTTATGATATTGTTTTCCGATTTTAATAAAATTAAAAGCGTAATTTTGAACTGTCAAATTATTAATTAGACAAAAAGAATTTCTAAAAAAAATATACAAAATAAAATAGTTAAATTTGTTAAAAAAAATTTTTTTTAATATTTTTTTTGTTATCATGGGAGCTTTATATTATAGTCGTCCGATTTTGATAAAATTTAAACCGTAATTCTGAAATATTTAACCATTACTATATGTCGAATACATAGAAAAAACAAAAAAATACCAGAATAAACAAAAAAGTATTTTTTGGTAAAATAAAAAATAGTCGTCACAAAATGTGATATCAGATGTGATATTAGAAAAATTTTGCCCTTCTTTGTAGGCGATTTTCTAAATACAAATGCGAATTTCTACATTCTAGAAAAAAAAATTGTTGAGTGTTGTACAGGTAGGATGAATCGTTTCCGACCCTATAGTAATATATATTCCTAATCAGGATCAATAGTCGAGTCGATCAAGCCACGCCCATCTGTCTGTCCGTCAGTATGAGCGGAGAGAGTTTCGAAACTATTAAAGCTTGGGAATAACGAATTCAAAACGGAGCCACGCCCACTCTATTACAAATCGCAAATGTGATATCAGAAGATTTTGAAGTTGAACGTGCTATCGTCACGTTAATTTGTGAAAAATGGCAAAATTTTCATTGTTTTTAGATATTTATAGCTTTATAGATCAAAATTTAGTCCTAATGTAGTATCGAAGTTCGGGTCCTTTCATGTAAAAAAAACAATTTACGTTTTTTTTCAAAACTTTTATTATTATTTTTTTTAATTTAAACAACAATTTTATTCATTAACCTTCTTTTTTGTTAGTTCTTTTTAAATTTGATTAAAATCGGACGAATATATCATATAGCTCCCATGGGAACAATCGGGGTTCAAAACAAAATCGATCGAAAAATTGAGCTGACAATTATTATAGCTTTTATGTTTTAAACACATACGAATTAATATTGATTTTTTTTGGCAAAAGCTGCAAGGGAATATGAACTTCGGCTTGTTAAACCTAGCTTCCTTTCTTGTTTTTAATTTGTACAGTATACTAGAGCCCATTTTTTATAAAAGTACGTCTACACCATGACCAGGAGTTTACCCAAATGACTTGTATATTAGAAAACCGAAGAACACAGTTCTGCTCCTTATCACAAAATTAGTATGTCTATAATATCCTTTCCTTTTTTTTTAATAATAATATGATATCACTATTATTTCGAACGATAAATTTTCACAATCGAATTTGACACGCATAGATTTCTGCTCATTCAAATAAGCATAAAATGCTTATGAAAACAAGAAAGCAAGCAAACTTCGGCAAGCCGAAGTTCATATACCCTTGCAGCTATTTCAAAAACTAAATACTCTTGAAAATGTTAAAATTATGATTTACTTGCGTGTATGTTTAAAAACATTGAAGCTATGATGATATGCAGTTTAATTATTCGATAGTTCCTATGGCAGCTATACGATTGTTCCTATGGAACTAACAAAAAAATTAAAAAACACCAAAGTTATAATTTTTTTAAATTTATTTTTCCGATTGTTCCTATGGGAGCAATATGCTATAGTCGTCCGATCCGGCTCGTTCCGACTTATATACTACCTGCAATAGAAAGATAACTTTTGGGAAAGTTTCATGCAGATAGCTTTAAAACTGAGAGACTAGTTTGCGTAGAAACGGACGGACAGACGGACGGACAAACGGACATGGCTAGATCGACTCTCCTAGTGATGCTGATCAAGAATATATATACTTTATAGGGTCGGAGATGTCTCCTTCACTGCGTTGCAAACTTCTGACGGAAATTATAATACCTTCTGCAAGGGTATAAAGATCTTAAATAAGTTGAATTTTTGAACGCTAAATAACTCTTAAAACGAAAAAAAAATTGTATTCACTATAGACGACAGTACATGTAGTGACGATGCGCACCAAGAGCGTGAGCATAGGAGACTTCTATTTATAGCCGTAGAATTAAAAATTTGCTGTGATGGCGGATTCGTAACGAGTAATACACCAATCTAAAGGTATCGCTAAATGAATAAGGATTGCATATCAATCCTTTAGGGAAATTATTGGTTCAGGAGAAAGGACGGTGAATGTGACATACTACAAATTTTTGAAAAACTTGCCTTTTTAGCGGGAAATCGCTGAATATAAAATAGCTAAACCTTTAAACTAGAGATGCTACAGACAAGTGATATATGTATACAATAATTTTAAAAATATTTAAATTTTTTCTTTTTTAAGATTGCAGTGGTGAAACCTTTCTTGGATATACTGGCACTAACTTAACTTAACAAGCTTAACAGTATTTATAGCAAACAACGGATAAAATGTGCTAACGGTTTACATATAGTGCTTTACATATTTCTTATGTCAAATGTCTTTTTTTCTGTGTATCTCTAACCAAAGTAGGCGGCATAGTACTGGTTCGTGGCTGCAAAGCCGGCAGACTGTTGGGGGCCACTGATGATTTTTGCAAATTCCGCTGGGCGGACGAATCCCACAGCTCCTGCCGGATAGTATGCAATGGTTGGAATCACCGGGATCTTCGGCACTGGATCGAGAACTGGACGTGGAACAGGCGGTGCCCTGGGCTGTGTCATCTCCACCTCCTCCACGGCGTCGTCGAGATCCTCCTGCGCCTCGCTGTTGGCCACCAATCGCGCGGGTTTCGAGTTGCCCGCCGGCAGGTCAAACTGTCTACCTGGCTTAAAGCCGGCTGCTGGATAGGAAGCCGCGCTCTGCTGCTGCTGGAGGCGCGCGCCCGCTCCCCGCTGCACCAGACCGATCAGAAAGAGTCCGGCGAGGAGAAAAACTACCGTCGAGCTGAGTGTCATTGCGCTGACTATGCCGTGCTGGACGGTGGGCCCGGAATTTATACGATCTGTTTAAGTTTTCGACGGTGCGGTGTGCCTTTTAAAAAACATTTTTGACATTGACCTCATAAGCGAAGCAAAGCTGAAGCTCGAATCAATCACCTAATGTACCTGACGGGCAATATGGCTGCATATTGATGGGGCGACGATTGCACCTGGCCCCATCAATATGCATCCAATGTTCTAATGCTCGCCTGGTTTTCGGCTTGGGCATTTTCCAGAGCTCAGTGGTCAGTGGTCAGTGGCCAGCTGATTATGCAGATCGTGTTAGCAATAGTTTAGTCACGTTCACGCCTGACACCGTAAATTAAGCCATCTGCTCCGACGAGGGGGGCTCGGAAGTTCGAGGGAAGGGGTTAATTTGACAAAATAGATTGCCCACTGATCGGGTCGGAAAATTGTTTTAGATCGCGTGGCCTGGCCCGCAAGGCACTTGGCCATGTGTCCGGATCTCCGTTCGCTAATCAATACTACGCGCCTTCATTGGGTCCCAGGCCAGGAGGACACTCCTCCGGACTACGTCGCATAAATTCGCCATAAGTTAGGCTCTCCTCCAGCGAACGGCGACGAGAAATGGTCCATAAATCCATACAAAATGGCAGTCAATGGCAGCCAATGGCAGCCACTGGCTGCTCGAGTTGTCTAGCCCAATATTTACAGCAATTTCAATAAAAATGCAGAAGCTAATTGATGTAATTAATTTATTAAATTACATTTGCCACTTTTTGCCGCCGCTTGCTGCAGGTTTTTCCCCTTCACGACTCAATGGAAGGCGTCCACAAACGGACACAAGTCAGTAGTTGGCATTCAGTTTATGGGCCAGAGAAACTGCGATTGGGCCGAGAAAAAAAGAGAGATGTGTCGTCATTATGTGCTGGCAGTTAGGCAGATGAAAATCGACTGGCGCAACGGGGGCAACTGTACTGCGGCTCGATTAACATTCTGCCATTGTAAATTGGCAAAACTTGCATCCCATTTGCAACCCGAAATTAGTTTTCTGGAGCATTGGTTGTGCGTCATCCCGGCCAGGATGGCTGTGGCTGCATAATAGTTGCGAATTCTAATCTGGCCCGAGTGCACCCCCCGGAATCCCTCGCCATCCGGGTTAATTTACACAAAACGAGGCTGCCGCCCAAGTCTGTGGCTCTTCTCGGAACTCCAGCGGAGTCCATATTCATGCGAAAAACTGGGCGTCATATTTCAAGGCAATCGGAGGCCGCCACATCGTCCACGCATGCGTCGTTGCCCAAGCTTCAGGTTTAGATTCAGTTTTGAGCTTAGCCTTCTGCTTAGCTATTCCCCATCCCCATCCCCATCTTTATTCCGATTTGTGTGTATGCTGGAACTCTGAATTGATGCGCCCGTTGCACTCACAATTAATATTCGACCGGGAAAAAAAGATGGTGGTACGGTTGGTAGCTCGGCCAGAGATTTCTCTAATGCCCGCCCGGTTTTCAGGCGCTAGCGCTTGATTTATTTTCTCTTTTAGTGTCTTTTATTTTATGATTTATGCAGCCACCGGTGCAGTGCTCGTGGTGCGTAATGTAATGCCCTGCACTGTACTGCACAGTGCTGGTGCTGGTACTGGTACTGGTGCTGGTGCTGGAGGTGGTGATCATCGCGTCGCTTGCTGAATGCAATTGTGCTGCTCGTCACGTTCCTGGCCGTCGACGATCTGCTGACTCAGGAGCCCCCCGCGAATGGGCAAGTGGCAGAAATAGACAAAGACGGCGTTAACGACAATTGCGCACTAATTAGCGCCTGGTGCGATGCGCCGGGTCGCGGAGTGGACTAAGACTGGGATTGGGACTGGGACTGGGACTGAAAAGCATTCCTGGCGGGCGTGAATTGAATTCCCTGCATCATGGCCACGGCGATGCTGATGCTGATGAATGGCTCGTGGATTGCCACCTGTCCAGTGTTCGATGGTCACTTGTAACTACTTCATTTGGAAACGAGTGGCCTCGCACTGGTCCGGGTGCTGGCCGGGTCGGGCTTTGATTTATGGTGCTGGAAATTAAAGTTTCGCACACTTCTGCGTGAGTTGCAGGAATGCAGCCCGCTCATTAGCCGGACAATGCGTCGGTATTTGGGTTAGGTCCAGGGAGCTATTGTCCGTCATGGTTACTAACGGCGCTGGCCAACACGGAGGCGCTGCACTAATAGAAATACATTTCTTTATTTAGACAGGTTTCCTTTTATTTGGCCGGACTTTGAACCAATAAAAATGTGTTGTTTCAAGAAACGTTTGCATTAGAATTCAATATGATTCATTTAAAGACATTTTTAAGAAAAACTTGTACCAATAAAGATGTCCACTGAAAATAATCTAACGAAAATGTTCAATTCATTTGCTATGTTAGATGCACACCAATCTTCCTTATGGACATAAAATTACCCACCTGTGCATACTTCTTGTCTATTATCAAACAAAAACACCTCTTAGCGAGGTTAAAAAACGTGACGATCGGTTTTGTGACGAAAAATTATTAGGCATTAATCCTAATAAATACACATTTTAAATTTACACAGGCATATTTTTGTTTCAATAAAAAATTTTAAAATGTGTATTTATTATTCGTCACAAATATTAATATCAGAAATTTTAGGACTCGAAGGAGCGATCGCCACGTTTTTTTTTTACCTCGTTAAGAGGTGTTTTTGTTTGATATCAAAAGTTTTTGTTTTATCTACTGTTACAGTACCCCAATACCATAACCCGGAGTCGTCTCCATATGACTTTAATATCAAAAGAACCAAACCACAAGATTCAGACCTCTGATCTTAGTCGAACGGCACATAAAATCAGGCACTGTAACTTCATTACCAGTCGGCACCCTCGGGAAGGTTTTAGTATGATGATTTTTGCCAACCAAAAATTTTAAAAATTGTATGGATAACAGAAAATTAAAAGTACTAATATTATATTTCTATTATAAAATAATAAAATATAAATAAATAAAATAATTAATAAAAAATTAATGTTCCTCATAAAAAAAAATATAACTTTGCTGTTTTTTAACTTTTTTATTTTGTTTTTTTTTTAGACATTTTTTTTGACTAATTAATAATTTGACAGTTCAGAATACGCTTTTAATTGTATTAAAATCGAAAAACAATGTCATAGGAACTATCAAATAATTGAGCAGCAAATCGTTATAGCTTCAATGGTTTTAAACATACACGCAAGTAAATCATAATTTCAATGTCTTCAAGAATATTTAATTTTTGCAATAGCTACAAGGGTATTGCAAAGGTTTGCTTCCTTTCTTGTTTATATATGTTTTCCTGATTGTTCCATGGGAGCTGTATGATATAGTCGTCGGATTCGGCTCGTTGGGCAAGTTTACGTAGTAACGAGTGGACAAACAATCGGACATGGCTAGGTCGACTCTCCTAATGATGTTGTTAGGGTCGGAAATGTGTCCTTCTGACTGAAATTAAAATACCATTTGTAAGGATATAAAAACTAACAGAAAGTTATGGGACACTTTTAGGAGGCTTGATCGACTCTTCTTGTGATGCTGATCAAGAACATATGTACTTTATTCACTGCGTTGCAAGGGTACAAAAGTATATTTTACTGGTAGATACCTAATTTTCGGTGCTATTTTTTTAACTACAGTTGTATGAGCCTGATCGACACGCCAAAAGCTCCAGACTCAAAGCCATCCAATGCAAAACAGTTGCTAGCTTGATTGGCCAACGAGTTTTGTTTATTTACTGCGGCTGCCCTAGGAGTGGGAATGCGCTAATTAGCCACTTGCCAAGAGATCAATGGAGCGTTGACTTGGCCACGTGTCCTTCGCCAGCGGCGGGTTAATTGAAGTGAGGGCCCCTTTTCAAAGCAGTAAGCGGGGCGCCTTGTTTGCCTCCTTTGCAGTGTAAGTGCCATCTAATTGTAAATCTGTCATGAGGCTATTCAATAGCGTCGATTGCCGCTGTTCCTTTTAGCTGCTTTGAAATAATATGACATTAAAGTATTTGCAATAGGCATCTGGAAAAAAATTAAAATACTAATTCTTGGTTAACATGCCCGCTATTTGCCACACTAAAATATAAGCAAATAAAGAACTTGCAGTTTAAGCGTTTTAAAGCATTACAAACAAGAAAGAAAGCAAACTTCGGCAAGCCGAAGTTCATATACCCTTGCAGCTATTGCATGATTTAAATACTTTTGAAAACATTTAAATTATGATTTACTTCAGTATATACTGAAAAACAGTGAAGCTATGATGATTTGCAGCTCAATTATTAGATAGTTATTTTATATATTTTTATTAGTTCTATGGGAGCTATATGATATAGACGTCCGATTTTGATAAAATTTAAACCATAATTCTGAAATAATTAAACATTGCCATATGTCGAAGAACTAAAAATTAAAAAACAGAAAAGTTATAATTTTTTTCATTTATTTCTCCGATTGTTCCTATGGGAGCTATATGATATAGTCGTCCGATTTTGATATAATTTAAACCGTAAATCGAAAATATTTAACCATTACTAAATGTCGAAGAACTAAACAAAAAATTAAAAAACAGCAAAGTTATAATTTTTTTCATTTATTTTTCCGATTGTTCCTATGGGAGCTATATGCTATAGTCGTCCGATTTTGATGAAATTTAAACCGTAAATCGGAAATATTTAACCATTACTAAATGTCGAAGAACTAAACAAAAAATTAAAAAACAGCAAAGTTATAATTTTTTTTCATTTATTTTTCCGATTGTTCCTATGGGAGCTATATGCTATAGTCGTCCGATCCGGCTCGTTCCGACTTATATACTACCTGCAATAGAAATACAACTTTTGGGAAAGTTTCATGCAGATAGCTTTAAAACTGAGAGACTAGTTTGCATATAAACGGACGGACAGACGGACGGACAGACGGACAGACGGACAGACGGACGGACAGACGGACATGGCTAGATCGACTCGCCTAGTGATGCTGATCAAGAATATATATACTTTATAGGGTCGGAGATGTCTCCTTCACTGCGTTGCAAACTTC